TCTTCGTTAAATAGAATTTAGGGAAAAAATAAACAGGGGGCTTATAATTCAGGGGGCTAATAATTCTGACTTCACCTGTATATAAATGTATTAAAATAGTTACTTATTTAACTGTATACTAAGCAACTGAATATACATTAGTTGTGACTCTAAAGAAAGATTATAACCAGCAGTGTTTATAGCATCAAGGCTTTGCTCTGGTGGTTTGATGCAATTGTGTTCCTTCAGAAGTTCAAGATAACAAGAAAGAACAATTTTCAAGGTTTTGTGGGAGGTTGTGGAGATGTTTGCTAATGTCTGTGGAGGTCAAACTAAGTCAAACTACGCGCAGAGCAAGACGCAAATGGGTTTGTTCGATGAAAACTTTTAAATTACTCTTAAGATTTTATAATGCAATACATATAATATGGTATAACATTCGGATATCAAAACCAACATGGTGGAGAAAGGAGATCTAACAGGTGTGTATTTTAACTGGTAATACATGAATTCTACTATAAATTAAGCATTACAATCCATAGAAACTTAGCTTTTGGAGTTTAATGGCCTTTTTAATGTTTTTAATACTTATTATGTATATTGCTTTATCTGTTACTGTTACAGATTTTGTTGTTGCTGTTGGTTAACAGTACATAAATACTGGTATTTAGTAGGAAGTTACTACAACTTAAATGTAAACATAACAGTAATTCGACGCTAGCAAAGTTGTTTGGTTTAGCTTAATAATAGACGTTGTCAAAATACAATAAACCTCGGATTAACAAAAATATGGCTCCAATATGCCATATAATAATATTATATTTTTCTGACCGATGTTTTTGGAGAGAAAAGCCGTATTTGCGGCGCTTCTGTTCGTATGTTTGTTTACATTTATGTTCGATGCTAGTACATGTGGATAGTGACGTACAGCGTGACGTTCAGCGCCGAAGTCCATCCATACGCGTACAGATCTGCATTTCAAGACGCAGTCGAGTTAAAGCACTTATAACACACTACACACATCCGCACTGCGTTAAAATAGAGCAGACTTTAACGACAGGCGCAGAGACTTTTAAATCTACTCATATATCTGAAACAACAAGCAGTGTTTGTCAAATAAAGCAAAAGGATAAATACAGCGTTTTGCACAGATCCGCCATAATCTCTCAAGCAGGAAATGCAAACATACATTAAATAAATTCGATAAGTCTACATATTTAATTGAAAGGGATATGCAATGGTACTAAAATATTTAAAAAGAGACCTGTGTCGTGTGTCTGGCCTATGTTAGTGATGTGTTTGTGTCTGTGTAACGAACATAATGCAAATAAATATATTTTAAAAAGACAAAAAAAGGCCAGTTGTAAAACAAAATTGACTTTTCAAAATGGTTGTTGTGTTGCTATTTTGGTGTTTATTTATTTATTTATTATTATTCATCAAGTATTAACAAACTTACAGCATCTGACAAGAAAAACGCTTCCGTGTTTATAAATTGCGGTGATAACAAAATAAAAGAGGAACAAAAACAGCTGAATTTCTTCAGAAACCCATGCTGTTATGTGGCATTTTAACGCTGCACGACTGGGAAAACCAGTAAGACGTTGGCATTGTGTTTGACCTGCCACTTCAATCCACTTAACACATAATACAACATTTGTGCATTCTTTACATCATCCATTTTGAGCTTTTTCGTCGTGCATTACTGCACTACTAGATCGGGTTTGCATTTTAGACGTCTGCCACATGTTCCTCATCTTCCCCAGATCAACGCAAAGCAACAAAACAAAAATGTCGGCATCTTCTCTGCGGAATAACAATGTTCACTGACCTTTGTAAAGCCATGAATCGGGCTCAGGCTTTGCACGAGCCAAACGGACAGGATGCACATTAGAGCTGGTGTTTTTGAGCGCACTGTTGTTGCTGTGTGATGTATAGATTTTCGTGGCGTTGAAAGAAGCAGCGCTGTTTTTTCTCGAGGAACAGCTGAGAGGATGTAAACACACGTCACATGGTTCACAGAAACGAGGATGCGGACATTAGACGTTCTTGCTAATAACGATATCCTATAATGTCCTCCAGGGGGCGCGCGGAGGCGCAAAAACTATAAACACCATAGAGCTGCATTCAAGATCATAATAATTATAATTGTACTAAAGAGGTTTAAACGTTTAATTGTGTAATCTTTTGAATATACTAACACTAAAGACTGCTATCGGGGATATGTGTCTTATATAGCTATAAAAAACGACTCAAAACTATTCGCTCAATAAGAAATCATAAACCAATCTGATTAGTCAAGCCCGTCCAGCGGTGGAAAAAGAAACACGTGTCACATGACAAAACAACCAGCAATAATTAATAACAGCTTCAGCACGTGGATAAAAAAACTGCGATAAACTTTAGAAGCTTTAAAAATTAAAATTAAAACATGAAAATTACTTTTAAAACACTACAAAGGGCTTTTTGGATGAAGATTCGGGCCACTACCTAGTCATATATCCAAAATCCTTTAATCCTTTCTAGGAGTCGAGATAGAAAGGCTGCAGACAGCGGTGCGTCCTCAAGCCCCGCCTCCCAAGCCATCATTGGCTAGTATTCTAAAAAGGCGAACGATGAATGGATAGCATTGAAGTCATTCATATAACAGCAAATAGCGATCAGAAGGAGGCGGGACATGAGTGGAAAAACAATGCAAAAATGCCTTTAACAACACATAAAAAGCTAATTTCTTGTGTATTAATATGGTGTTCAGTGAATAACATGTTAGTCACTTCAGCTGCTGTTCTTAGTATCAGTAGACTGATTTGTTAATACGATTTTTTTGGCATTGTAATCTGTTGACAGTGCATCAACATCCAGGAAGGGAACAAGTAGCATGCCTTCTTGTTTATATCCAAAACACTCCTCATGTGCCTATAGGGTTGCATCACAAGCAGGCTAAAGTAGTCTGAACACACATGCTGTCTGGCATGAATACAGGGTTGATCAAGAAGTCTATTGGTTGCATTTGTCATGTCTCAGACTGACTGGAAAACAGTATTCGCTTACCACTGTGACATACTTGTCTTTATTTCCTCACAGGCCTGGACGACCCTGCTTGACCTCTTCTAGATCCACTCAGCGACGCTCTACTGGGAACTCACTCACATGAGACTACTTTAAAATTAGCAAGTGTCCATTTATACATATGGACATTACAGTTCAGCGATCGAGGACAAGGCTTTGGAAATATCTAGCCATGATGTTGAAACCCTCTACTAAATAACTTCAACATGTAACCACACTCACATCCAGTGGAGTTAGAGGTAAACAATCTCAAGGCAAGGGAGGATTATATCCAGCGTCCATTAAATGAAGCCTGAAATGTAAAGCTAATGTTTCCTCCCTAGAAAGCATATATTAGAAATGCAGACGAAATTAATTGCATATTGTTTATAATACTTGCTTAATGATGATTAATTGTATGGTGTGTGTGTGTGTGTGAGTGAAAGAGGGAGAAAGATTTCATTAATTCATTTTCCTTTGGCTTAGTCCCTTATTTATCAGGAGTCACCACAGGGGAATGAACCGGCAACTATTCTGGCATATGTTTTAAGCAGCGGATGCCCTTCCAGCCGCAATCCAGTACTGGGAAAGAAGAAAAAATTATCATGTATTCATCATTCTTTTCCTTTATTAATCAGGGGTCGCCACAGCAGAATGAACCGCCAACTTATCCAGCATATGTTTTACGCAGCGAATGCACCAGACAATTTACCCAATTCACCTATACCTATGAGCCAACACAAGGAGAACATGCAAACTCCACACAGAAATGCCAAATGACCCAGCTGAGATTCGAACCAGCGTCCTTCTTGCTGTGAGACGATTATGCTACCCATTGCGCCACCGTGATGCCAATGATTTATTAATATATTTATAAAGCAAATATAAAAAGTTGGGGTGACACAGTGGCGCAGTAGCTAGTGCTGTCACATCACAGCAAGAAGGTCGCTGGTTTGAGTCTCACCTGGGTCAGTTGGCGTTTCTGTGTGGAGTTTGTATGTTCTCCCTGCGTTCGTGTGGGTTTCCTCCGGGTGCTCCGGTTTCCTCCGGGTGCTCCGGTTTCCCCCACAGTACAGGTGAATTGTGTGTGTGAATGGGTATGTGTGGATGTTTCCCAAAGATGGATGGGCATCCGATGCGTAAAAACGCGTTGGATAAGTTAGCGGTTCATTCCGCTGTGGCGACCCCAGATTAACAAAGGGACTAAGAAAATAAAATGAATGAGTGGGTAGTGCTCATAGCAAGAAGGTCACTTGTTTGAGCCTCGGCTTGCATGTTCTTCCTGTGTTGGTGTGGGTTTCCTCTGGGTGCTCCGGTTTCCCCCCACAGGTCCAAAGACATGCGCTATAGGTGAGCTGAATAAATTAAATTAGCTGTAGTTTATGAGTGTCAATCTGAGAGTGGATGGGTGTTTCCCAGTGATGGGTTGCAACTGGAAGGCCATCCGCTGTGTAAAACATGTGCTGGATAAATTGGTGGTTCATTCTGCTGTGGCGACCCATGATTAATAAAGGGACTAAGTCGAAAAGAAAATGAATGAATGAAAAGTTGTCTAGGAACGATACTCTCATTCTGGCGTAATAATCAAGGAACTTTGCTGCTGTACCATGTGTGCAGTAGGATCAATAGAATATAAGCTGCATCCTAAATTGGATAATTCCCTTGTCACGATACTCGATTTCGGTACCAGTCGATACTGAAATTTTAAAGACGTCCATCTCCTGCTAACGTTTAAGCAATGTTGATCGTGTTCTTAAACTGCGCTGATTTGCCATTGTGTTCACATGCTTGACAGATATTACTTCGATTGGCCGTGAAGGTCATCAGTTCACGCACTTCACCGAGTGCAAACACATACAGCGTTTTTGTTTTCAAAATGTTAGCGCGAAATGGACATTTTTAAAATTTCGGTACCGATTGGTAATGAAATTCAGTATCGCAACAACAACACTACTACATAGCACTGTTTCCGCTACATACATTTTTCTATGGCGGGGCCATAATATATAATTTTTATTTTAATATGATTGCACCTGCTGCAGTCATGGTAAGGCAGCAAAGTTTTTTCGATTATTACGCCGGAATGAAAGTATAGTTCCCCGACTGTATCAGTTAGGGAATGGGATGCCAAAACCGAAAGTCAAAAAATAGAAAACTTAACTTTTACCGTACACCACACTGCTTTTAATGCCAACCGCAGATGTCTTTAGCTAACAGCTATCATAAGAGCTGAATGGAGTGAGGACCTAATTAAAAAGGCTTGACTCTGCAGTTCTCATTTTATATCAGGTGAGTTAATGCTAAGCTGAATCATACACATTACTTGTTTTTGATTGCAGCAATGATTTCAGCAAAAACAGTTTAATATGGTGAATTAAACTGCGGACACTGAATGCTAAGAATGAAATGTTAAAATGTAAGTCCACATACCCTGCCGTACAGGTGCAGTTCGCGGTCGGAATGCAGTTGTTTTGCTTGATGATTACCCAGGCCTTGTATAGTCCTGTCTTTTTTCCTTGTCCTTGCCTAGGCAGAACCTTCGTTTTAGCACTACATAGTTTTGAATCTGGTAATCATGGAACATTATTTCTGGCACATGACCACACAGAACAAAATTGTTGGCATCAAAAGACTTGTAGAACTTCTCTCCTGTAAAATCACTTGGAGTTTCAATGAGATAGTTGTATATTTGGGGCTGGATGCTTGGCCATTTCGTCTTATTTAATAGGGAGGGTGCTATCGCAAATGGACCTGTCAGACAAACGCCACTCACTTTAAGGTTTATTTTGCCGAATAACTGTGTTTATCACTGGGTGACAAGCTGTTATAATATGCTGAAAACATTATGTAAATAATATATAATATGTAGGCTAATCAGTAAACTTATCTCTAAGACAACAGCAAACTCTGTACCGCAGTGGATGTCATTCCCTCGCTGTAAATGCTAGCACTCCCGTTTTTTTCTGCAACCTCGCTGCGTGTTCATCCTGAATGTTTACTAACAGGTAATTCCCCTGTAGATCTAGAAAATAGCAATTGTTCATTTTCTGTCAGCCCTAGTAGTACACAATGTAGTCAAGCTTTAAATAAACGTTTTTCTAATAAGCGAGTTGCTAATGGTCTAATCCGATTCAATAATTTATGCTAAGCTGTGCTAAGTGCTCTCACTAGATCGGGAGATCAGCTAAATGGATTTTAAAAAATGGTACATTTGTTTAACTTTAGGGTACTTGAGCTTATATTTCCAAATAAATAAATAAATAAATAAATAAATAAATAAATAAATAAATGGAGTGTTCCTATAAGGTTAACATGAATCATCACAACACAAACACACCTGCTGTTCAAGTCAGCCATGAGACATAATTGCTGGATTTGCTTGTTGGTGAATCTAAAAGGAAAGCTATGCCTCATTTCGGATAGTAATCATGTAATTTGCATCACCATCAACTCATCAACGTCACGGGGAAATTACTCTGATGATTAAAAAAAGATAATTATGAAGGTGAACAAACCAAGTGTAACGGGTCCCACACGAGTGGAATCCGTCCTGCGTTGTGTTGTTGTTTTTCAATAAAGGACTCCAAACCTCTTACCGCTTGGCACTGTCTTTATTTTCTGCACAAATGGAAAATGTGTTGACAACATGCATTCTGTGATTGTGATCTTCATTAAACAACCGTTTAATGTCTCCATTAACCACGAGACAACCTTCTCTCAGCTCAGAAGGAAGTGAACTGCGATAGCGATTTCTTGAAAGAACATGTATTAAACTAATCTGCTTAACATAAGACTAAATTAATATTAATGACATGAAATCACAAAAACTACCAACAATACAAAAACATACCTG